TAGCATAATCTGACCTGAAGATGTGCTGCTTCATTCCCCTGTGGGAACCTGTGATACGCAGAAGTTGCAGTGTAGCTTTGGCATCTTCAGAATCCCTAGTCACCGCATAGGGATGACAGCTTTTCACAATGCCCTGCAGGTCAGGTTTTTGTCTGGTAAAAGCTCAGACTTGCAAATACAATGTTTAAAGTGTTAAGGTCACATTGAGGCTGTGAATTTAGACCTACCAAGACCATGCTCCTTCAGTCATTGGTAATTCAAGCCAAAACTCAATTTTGGGATCCTGGAGATCGTGTGTGCGTGGAAAAAAGTCAATATAGTATCTGTGTCCCGGTTTGTTGAAGGAATCCACAGAGATATCTTTGCACCCTCCCCACATGAGGTGAATAAATTGCTGGCTACCACACCAGCAGGAGGATCACAGTGCCGGCTGTGCTGATGGGGACATCCTGCTGCATGGCAGATAGCAGCCAAACTTCTAGTGACCTTAGCAGAGTCAGGACTTCACCCCAGCAGCAGAGGGGATAAGGGAGGTAAGCTGGATGAGTGAACTAGAGCACCTAGAAGCATGCTGCATTTGTAGCTCCCCTGAAAGCCAGGGTATTCTTTCAGTGTTCTGAGCATCAGCTCATTTCTAAGCAGTATTACTGCCTTCTAGTTCTTTCATATTTTGCTGAATTCCTTAATGCTTCATTTCCCAATTCAACTTCTTTTACAAAAATTGAGTTAAGGGGAGAAAACCTGATTCAGCTAAGAGCAGAAGTTACCATATACAATATTGAGCATGGGCTGTCAGAAAAATACTTGTTAGCAACTCACATGTTTTCTTTTTGATGACTTCTGAAAGTGACCAATACAGAAATCAAACTTACCTTAATGTGGCTTCCTGTTTCTTTCCCATTAGGCAGTTTGACAGGTTTGGGCTTGTTTTTGGTTTTGTTTTAAAATTTCCCCTCTTTCTTTCTCTACACCGAGAATTATACTCTCCTTTCTACGTTTTTGTTGATCAAAAAATACCAGGATTGCTTGATGTTTTTTCCTGTGTCTTTCCATTCCATGAGACATGTCATGGGAACTACATCACAAGATGTTGGGATCAATGGGGGAAAATCTGAACTCCTAACAAATTCAGGTTACTTGTTGAGTGTGGTTAGTTCAGTAGGTTGCTAACAGAAATGTTAAACACAGTTTTAAATGGTATGAATGGAAAAATCAGTCATCAGCTGTATGAAGCCGACACCTGATTGTGTTGTCCTGTTACCTTACTCTTGAATCTTCCTGAATAAACAGGGGAAATTCTGAATTTCTCACAAATGAAAAAAAGAAAAAATCCTCTGCCACCTGCTTAAAAATTCTTGGTAAGTCTTTGCCTCCAGAGCTGTGGCTGTTATGTCATATTAAAAATGAAAAGAAACAAATAATTCTTTTGCCATTGATATTTAACACTACAGAGTGAACACAGAGTGAAAAATGTTACCGATAGTTTCTTGGCTCAATGTGGTGAATGTTCTTAGTCCTTAGAAGGCCAGGATCATCTCTGGATTGCATGCATAGACTCCTTTGATTTTGAGAGTTGACAGTGTGGTTAAAGGTGTTTGTCAAAAAAAAATTGATTGTGTATGTGGATTTGTCATTGTTGTTGTTGGTGGTTTTTTTCAATGCTCTTACTATCAGTTTGCAGCCTCATGAGGCCACACTGGCCATGTTCAGTGGTGTGGCTGTAGCCTAGCTGGGTGACACAGGGTTTGTAAGAGACATAGGTTGTAGTTTCGAGTACATTTAAGCTGGTGTGCCACAGGACAAGAACAGTTCCTCTCTATGCTGTCCAGTTGTGCTGTTCTTTACAAACAGAACTGCAAAGACGATCTGGCTGAACATGAACTTGGTTGAAGGAAAATGTTATTGAGACAGATTATTTTCTCAGTCGTGTTGATCGTATTGCTACATAAAGACTGTGCTAGTGCAGCGTAGGAAGTGCTATCCGGATGCTGGGAGTAAGTGGCCAGAGGATTTGAACTTCTAGCGGTTTGGGGTAGGCTTAAATGCAAGTCAGCTCTGTCCCTAAGCAAAGCCCAGAGATTGAAAATAATCAATATCCTACAGGACACAGTGGTCCTCCCTAATAATTCACCATTGCAAAAAGTGAGAATTCCCAGTCCTTCCCCTCCCACCCTCACCTCATCCTGCCATGTATTGGCCTGGGCCTTCACTGGGTTTAGCTCACTGTGTTGTCAAAAAAACTGCTATAAAGTTAATGACTGGTGTTGGCTCAATCCAGGGAGCATGCCAACAGAGCAGGACTGCAAACAGGAGGGCAAAAGCAGGAAGGGAGGGAGAGTGGGATGGCCACCCCCCACCCCCACCCCAAGTGGGCTGAGGTGTTAGCTTAATTGCCCTGAGCTAATCAATTGTCCGGGCCAGGGGGCACAAGATTTTTAGGACAGGATTTCTCACGTTTCAGCCTGCTGTTGTGCGTGAGTGACCTGAATGAGGGCCTTGTTGATAATGTTCTTGGCAGGAGAACTAGCTGAAACTGGGTTGCCTCAAAGTACAGGCAGTAATAGTCTACTGTATAAACCTTCTGAAGCTGGAGTTAAGTGATTAGGTTATCCTAAGTTTGCATATGTAGAGCATGTCATGCTATAACTACAGAACATCCAAGTATGATTTTATGTGCTCTCTTTCCACCACTGCCCCATATAGTGCCTCTCACAGCACAAGAAGATTTGGAAACCATGGTCCTGCAGTAACCTCTCCTCCGTATGGTGAATTCCCTGGAGTACTGCTTTGTTAGTGGACTTTGACTTCCGCAGAATAGATGAAGTTTCCTTCCTGTAGAACAGCGTGTGAGAAAGAGTCTTGTAAGGCCAGGATCGGTCTTTCTTTGACTCCTAGAGAATGTCTTGCACTTCTGTAGTCTTCTATAGTAAGATGGGTTAAATCAATGACCAAATAACTGTGACTGAATATCTATTAATAAAGTCATAATGCTGCTCAGCGGTAATTTCTGGGGACTGAGGCTCAGGAGTTAGGACTATACAAAGGTAAAATCCTTGGGTTGTAGGCTGCATTACTATCCAAGTGATAGGAATGATGGAGGTGAATTCAGGTTTGTGATTGATGGGTAGTAAGAAGCATGACAAACTGCATGTGGTTTTCTTAGCAGAAGTGCAAACTCTTCACTTAATCCAGGGTGATGAGAGCTGTGAGAAGGTGCTAATAATGTTGTGTGTATCTAGGCCGTTACATCAGAAAGTGCTCCTGGCTGTTAGTGGAGTGCAACATTGAGTATGAGAGGTGTGAGTGCAGGTTGACCAATGCCACTATACCACGGTAATTAAAAGGCAGAGATGTTACACTAGCTAAAATAACAGTAATTTTGTGAAGCTTTTTCTCTTACTGGTACCTTTAGGGTGGCCCTGGTGACACTGTACACATACCTTTATCCTGGTGTATGAACAGGCGGACTTGCTAGAGATAGAATATTTCCGTTGATGTTTGTTTAGTATGAAATTAATAGACTTACCTGGAACTAACCCTGAGGCAATGGCTTGGCAAACGGAAAACCACCGAAATCAAGGAAGTGCCACAAAAATAAGAGTTCAAACATTTACATTCAGAGAAAAGAGTATCCTTTCCAACTTGGAAATACAGCCCAGTGGGTACTTCTAACATGAAGTTTGTTTAGAGGCATCTCCTCAGAGTTGCTTTGACATCAAAAGCCAAAATCTTAAAGATTAAGAAAATTTGCCAGAGCTGCACAATCAGTATCCATGTTGAGATGTGCACTGCACTTGCTTTGGAGCTTCAGTTTCAGATTTTTGAAGAAACAGGCCTGAGCTGCAAAATTTTGGATTGGACAGATTCTGTCCTTAATTCAAAGGCAAAGACATCAGGATTCCAGGTGCACTGTTGTGAACCAGATCCTCCTGGCTCACAGTAGAGTCAGAGGTGGGTAAAGATCTCTAAACAAGTTGTGAAGCCCCACTGAGTCGCTCGGTCACTCCTCCCTCAGCAGGATGGTGTAGAAAATCAGGAGGGTAAAAGCAAGAAAAACTTATGGGTCAAGATAACGGCAATTTAATAAGTGAAGGGGGGAGAACAAAGGGAGCAGGGGAACCAAGTGATGCAAAGGCAATCACTCGTCCTTTCCCACCAGTGAGCTTCTTTGAGCCATGGCTACTTTGGAAAAACTCACTCTCCCCCTCATTTTTCTTGCTGAGCATGACATATGGTAGGGAATATCTCTTTGGTCAGTTGGGGTCAGCTGTCACAGCTGTGTCCCCTCCCGACTTCTTGCCCATGCCCAGCCTAGGATTGGGCAGAGTCAGAAAGAGAGAAGGTCTTGATGCTGTGCAAGCGCTGTTCAGCAATAGCTAAAACACTGGTGTGTTATCAACACTGTTTTGGTCACAGATCTAAACCACAGCACCGTACAGGCTGCTATGAAGGAAATTAACTCCATCCAAGCAGACCTAGCACGCAAGTACATGGTGGTAGTAACTATGGCAAGTAGTAGGAAGAATAAGACTGGACAAGTAATCTGAGGACAAGGGGAGTGGAAGAGGTTTGGGCAGGAAGCAGGGTGGAGGGAGCTAGAGAGATCTGTGAGGTTCAGCAAGTGGAGGAGGGATGTACGTGGGAACAGGGAAGAGGAACTGAAAATTCTGGCTATTGTAAAAAAAAAAAATAAATCTTTGGAACTGAACTTACAAAAGTTGTTGGAAATTTGCACCTTCCTCTCAATTCTGGTGTCAAAGTCAGCTGGTGTCTGACACTGGTGGCATCTTTATTCCTGTGGAGCTGATGTTTTGGTCCTCTGTTTTCCCCATTCTTCAACTTGTTTCTCTGGAAGTATCCAGGATTGTCTACTCCTTGTCATAGCCAAGCTTTTGTGTATATTTCTTGTACCTAAGCTCTGCTGGAATCCGTGGAGTTCTTCTGTGGGTCATGTACCAAGGCTTAGAAAACCCTCCTGTAGGCTTCCCTGAGCTGTGCAGTGGAATGTGCTTTTTCTTTCTCCTCTTCAGGGTGTGACAGTGTGCACTAGCGAGTTATAATGCAGGCGTCAGGTCTGGTCAGGGCACTAGTGAGCCGTTTCTTCATTTGACTGTGCATTTTACCTCTTTTAACATACGAAAAGGTCTTGAACATACGGTTTGACTGGCGAGTTACTGGAGAAAAGGGAGGCAGCATCTCTGTCTCTGACAGCATTTTTGAAGGCTTTACCTCTGTCCTAGGAAGATTTAGGGCTGTGAACCCAGAGTAGATAGAGGCAAGCGCCCTCAATGAAGTGGGTAAACACAGGGGTTTGGTTTAGGATGCAGCTCAATCCTCATCATTTTCTGGTAGCTATTTTAGGAAGTCTGCTCCAGCCCATGGGTGTAGTCACTGCACTCCGAGTCATCCTGTGCTGCTGGCCAAAGCACAAGTCTTACTCGTGTTCTTTCACAATTCACTGATTTCTGCTCCATCCCATGTGCGAGCACCAATGTTCCCACCATGAGTCACATCTGAGAATTACAGTCCTTCTGTGTTTTTTTTGGGGTTGGTTTGTTGCTGTTTTTCTTGAGTGGAGGTGTGTGTCAAGTAAACTTTCAGTAGATTGCACTCTCTGCATGACTCTCATTGTGGGAACACGCAGGCAAAAACAAAGGAGAGGGAGGAACGGGTGGGTCACCCCCACACTTCTGGTCGGCAGCATAGTTTTAAAATTACTAGGTAACGTTTGCATGGGGATGCTGCCTGTTGTTAGGCCCGTGCTGAGGGATATAACTGAAAGTATGGATTTTGTGATGGGGAGGGAGGGACCCAGGCTTGTTAGTGGCTGCCACTCTTAGATCCTGTCTTTGCTGATGTGTAGAGCTCTGTAGATGCAGGTGGCTCTGTATTGTCCAGGAGTAGCAACGCATACCTCTGAACTTGCTGCAGTATGCAAGTGAAAAACTTTGCTTTTGATGTTACATACAAGATTTGTAGTGATTCCTGCACAAATCTGATTTTCTCTTGCAACAGCTTGGGACACTGCTACAGATTACTATCATCTGCATTCTTTCTTTCCTGACTGTGGATTTTACCTGTACTTTCATACCACAGGTCTAAGTACTTTCTTACTGGAGTTTGGGGAGCGGGTTGTGTCTGTGGCCTCTGAGGGAATTAGGAAGACTATGGGTGAATATTCTGATAGTCCTTCTGGACTGAACATTTATTTCAGGGTTCTTTGCAACTGGTAGTTCTAAGGGTTAGGGGGGAACGTAACTCTCTGCTGCTTATAGTTGCTGGGGGAATTCACAGTTTAAAAACAACAAAAAAAGCCTAAAAAAGGGGTAGCTGGGAAGTTACAAAAAACAGAACGAAAGTCCACTATTTAAAAAGCCCAGCTCCTGAGGCAGACAGTTCCTTGCTATAAGCTAATCAGTAAGAACTTTCCCACCCCGCTTCAGCAGGTGGAGCGTTAACATCTTAGTGGTGATATGGGAGCCTAACTACTGCTTGTGTGGACCTAATATATACATATGTGCATTTAAAATAGATACTTGAGACCAGAAAAGGTGATAATGATAAAAATAAAAAGGGAATTGGCTTGTGGAAGTTCTCTGGAATAACTAAGCCTTACATCAGTTCCAAGGAAAGTAGTGAAGAAAATCAAATCAGGTAGACAAATACCATCACGAAGTATTTATTGCTGATAAATGGAATATTAAATTCCACTTACTCAGTCTGAACAGAACATGCGGATACCTTATATTGAAACTTGACTATAGCATGCTAGGGTGTATGGGTGACCTGTTACTCTGTGAGTGAAGGGCTGTGCTTGTCTTGTGTAGGCTGCAATCCAGGCTCTGTGTTCAGAGAGGTGATTCGGTTAACACGAAGTTCCAGGTTACGTGCATTAGCTCAATTGTTGTCAAACATGAGAAAATCTGAAATATTTTAATGTACTGCAAACTAGGCTAAGATTCATGGCATGCTGTTTGCTACAGGCCAAATCTGTGCACCCCTGCTGTTGTTGTGGTTCAGCTGATGCGTGGTAGGCAGAATGCTTGGCCGTGGCTCTGAGTCCTGGGTAGGACGAGAAGGCTGCTTAGGCAAAGGTATCTGGCTGCTGGAGGAGTGGGAAAAGAAGATGATGTAGATGAGATGAGGTGGTGGGTTTGCAGAAGAGTCTTTGCTTGCACAGCGTTAGCTTCTCTTTACCAGTAACAGTTTTGTTACCTGTTTTGTTTGGAAGACATGGCATAAGATGGAATTTAGAGTGCGTTGAAGGAAATACAGGATCAGGTAGTCTGATGGTTTCTGGAGGCCTTAGTGTAGCGCTGCTTTGTTGTGTGGACTTTCTTGTACCCTGTTATTCCAAGATAAGGAGAGAGGAAGAGAACAGAGAAATATCCATCTTATCTCTAGCCATCCAAAAAGAGTGTATGAGGAGTGTTTGGCTGTTACTTGTCCCTCTTTGTTCACAGCAGAGAAGTTAACTGCTGTGGAACAGGAAATCAGCCTCTGTATAAAGTGAAGTACAAAAGGGGGAAGGGTTCCTTGGAAATTTAGAAAAAGTATGATGACACATGCTTCCTTTAGAAGGTCAAAGCTATGTGGTGGAGACCTTATGCAATATTTCTGTATGATGTATAATTTCCTTAAAAAAAGGAAGCTGACAGCATTGAGTAGAAGGTCTCTTCAATGTCTTCAGAAGAGTGGTGAAACAGGGAGGTAAAAGTGTCTGATCCCTGGTTTTGGACAGGAGGAGATGATGTCTTATTCCCTGTCTTATTCCTGGGAGCCCTGAGTGTCCTTGGGCAGGAACTCTCCAGCTCCTTGCTGCCAAGCCTTTGTTTCACCAGCCAGCAAGAAGAGAGTGCACTGAAGAGGGTGGTGCTCCCCCAAGCCAAGCAGAAGCTGTGGAAGGAAAATGTTTTATTTTCAGCTTTGCTTCCCTCCAGCCTCGTATCTGGTCTTGAAGAAGAAACAATCTTGCCATCGTAACTCCAGCCTAGGCATTGTGACTAACTGAAAGAGAGCAACGATGTGGGGAGTTTACATGCATCAACACCCAGGTTTAGGAAGTTATTAGTGGTTGGCTGAGGAGCGGTGGCTGTCCTTGCTTGTCTTCTTAGTCTCCAGCAAATGTCTGCTTTCCTCCCAGAAGAGTCACGTTACCTTGCACTTGTCAACAGCCACTGTGGCTTGGCTTATGCATGCTGACATTAAGCCACCACAGCTTGGTTGTGTCTGTGAGCCGAAGTTACTGAGAGGTAGAATTTCACGGTGGATAGAGCAGGGAATTTTTCTCCATGCTAGGAATACTACAGGTCCCTAGACAGTGACAGATGACTTCCTGAGGAAAATGCACTCCTAGAAATTGTCTTTATGAAACGAAGGTCTCTAACAAGACTCTGGGCTTTGTCAGATGAAAACAATATTTCATCTTGCCCAGCTTCCTGCCTTCTTGTGGGCTCTATACAACAATGTTGGAGCTCCTGGGTTCTTCTCTTTTCTGCAAATAGTTGACTGAGATGGGTGGAAAGAGATGTTCATACTGGAGCAGTGGGAGCAAGTGAGATGTTTAAATATGTCTGAACGGTATAGAAGAGGAAGGCAAGTGGGTTGTGTCGAAAAGATTTGGAGGTGATAGCTGAGCCCTCTTTGCCCTGTTTACTTTTCCAGTTCCTGTGCCTGGAAAAGGCCACAGTATAAGTGTGGACAACAAGAAGTAGAAACTGTAATGGCATGAGAATGGCACTTCCATGAGTAAATTGCAAACAAATTGGGTAGTTCATGAGAAGCAAGGCATGGAGAAGACCACCTGGGTGTGCAGTTCTGTACCCAAGCACACAGAAGTGTGTTTCCCATTGCTTGCCTTCAGTTTCCTGTCTGAGAAAGTCTTTGGTTCTGTGATGTGACACCAGGCAGAAGAGCAGGACACTTGGTATGCTGGTGAGCGTTGCTCTTTGCCGATGGGGAACCTAATCTACTTAATGACTGGCCTGTGTGACCTCCTGACTGCTTTCATATGGAAAGAAGATAGGATGTGGAGCAAGATGGGTTATAGTTTGTTTTCTGCACTCATATACAGTGAAGTGACTTGTTGTTTTGATGTGATAAAGCTGTAGTATCTGCATCGATTTATGAACAATAATAAGATGATGACATGAGAAGCAAAGGAAGCACAGAATGATACAGGGATTGGTGGGTTCTTGACTTGATGCCGTTTAAGAATTAAAAAAAAAGTCAACACCAAAAGAAACCCAAAATAGTAGCCATCACTTGGGAGCATTTGGCCTGAGGAGTAGGCTTCTGAAATATTTCTCTTTCATCTGCACAGTTTCTCTATTTCTCTGCACAGTTACTGTTTAAAGGGGAGTTTTCCATGGTGCATATTGGGAATCGTGCCTTAATTTGAGGCCTCATTTATATCTTAGTCATGCCCTTCTTTCAACTTAGTGGTAAAAACTTAGCAACTACCATGGAGCAGAATAGAGTCCTTAATGCAAGTGTGACTTCAGCTCAGTATTGGCACGTGTTTGTCAAATGTCTACATACATGTCTGCCATGGCAATAGACTTGTGATTTTTTTAGAGTTATTCAGAGCTATTTGGAAGTAGGAGGTGATTCCTGAAGACTGAAGCAGGGACACAGAGATGCTAATAGTTTACAGTATCCCTACCCCACAGCAGCATTTGGTCTCATCTGTTATATCAGTAGATTTTATTTTTTTTTTTTTTTGCACATACAGCTTTTTTTAATAAGAACTGTGGAAAATCTCTTATCCCTCTTCTCTGTTGTTGTTTGTTTATTTATATTGAATGTTTGGGCCTTTTTTAGCAGAATATGATTGATTGAAAACTGATAGCCCTTAATGTTTCTTGACAGCTCCCATTTCTTGCTTGCAGCTCTGCTAATCTCAGAGGTTGGGGTGCTGTTTCACATACATTGGCTGTGAAATAAACTTGCTTAAGTGACATTTCCAAATGAAATCCTTGATATCCCCATGATTTCAGAGCAGGCGCTTTGAACTGAGTAGCAATTGTCTGTCATAAGTGTGCTTTTTACTAACTCTGTGGAAGAATTGCAGTTTATTTGCTCAGCAGGAGCTTCAGTCTGGGCATTCTGCAACAAGATACTGATAGATTCTGCTTGTGAAAGCAGTTCTTCATTTCATCTTTTTCACCAGACCACGGGCAGAAGGTCTAATTCAAGTGAACAGAGGGGAAGTACTGAAGATAGAGAAGCTTAGGATAGGGAAGATGATCAGGACAATGATTCTACCTGGGACCAAAATGTGGAAATTGGATCCCTTTGCAGTGCCTGTGACATAATCGTGCAGACAGGCTGGGCTTGGGTAATTCTTAACTGACACGTGACTTACTTTGCAACATTGTGATGTGCTTCTAGCCTAAATTTGAATGTATCTGATAGTGCATACAGCATTAGTCAAGCAATATTTTATAAAACAATCATTGAAGTAACTTTTTTTCTTTTTTTCCCCTGTAGCACACATCCACTGCGAGGACGTGTTTGGCATCTTGGGAGAAAATTTTACTTTTCCAGTAAAAATAGACCAGAAAATAGAGGAAATTTTTTGGACGAAAAACAAGGATAGAGTGGCTGCATGGGAAGGGCAAAACAAACCGACATATTTTACTTCTCTCAAGAACAGAGGCTTGCTTAACAAGGAGAATGGGTGCTTGACTATATTTAACTTGGAGAAAAATGATGCTGGCATATATGTGTTAGAGTACTTGGATTCTGGGAAAGAAAGTTATGACTTAAAATTCACGCTTGCTGTGTTAGGTAAGTAGTGGAAGAACCGCATAAAGAATTTGCGCCACTTTGTTCACTTTAAGAAGTCTAGAAACGGGATTGTGTATTTGTCAGGGAAGCAAACAGAAACAGAGGGGGGCTGTTCTTTGGCTATATTGTTAAGTTGCTTAGTCACTTTAAACAGATTTTCAAAGGTGGTGTCTGATTTGTGTGCCCATCGATACTCAGCTCAGAATGAGTTCTGGAATGTGTGTAGATGGCACGCTGTGCAGGTAGATAACTTGTTCAGCTTGCTCAAAGAGTTTGGTTATCTCAGGCAGTATGTGTCTACTAAAGATGTGCCTGCAGACATACTATATGTGCTTGAATATCTGTGGCATCATCCTGTGCAGCTCTACGCAGCTTCACTAGTAGTCTTCGGGAAATACAATTTAGCAGTGTGTATATTAGTCCTAGTGGCAATGAACCATGACGGATCTCAAACTAGGCACTGAAGAATCACAAACAGGGGCACTTTTAGAAATAACATTTTCTTTCTCACACACATGTGCGTGCACACTGCACACGTACACCTTTATCTACACACTCTCCTGTTGCTTTTGTTGCTCCAGCCTTTGTCCTGTGCTAAAATTAAAGACAGTGCATAACCAAAACATCATGTTTTCTCTCCTTTTAGCTCGTCCTTTAGAACCTGAAATAAGTTGCAACGTCAGTGGTGATGACCTTGTGTTAAAATGTACAGCAGATTTTGAGAAGCCTCTGAATTACACTTGGAAGTTCAGTAGCCTGCGGATCACTTATCAGACCCAGGAAGTTTTCATCCCTAAGAAGAATATTGATGCTTCTGAGAAAGCTGCATGTTCCATTAAATTCTCTCAAATGGAAAAGAGCTCTGCAATCTCTTTGACTGAATGCTTTCCAGATAAAAAAGGTGATGAATGGGGTCAGGTTGTATATGCAACTCTGAGAGGCTAGGTTGGGAAGCAGCATGAACTTTGACTGTAAGGTTTCTACTTTTTTAACTTAAAGAGCAAAAAGCGTCAGAAGTCATGTTTCTGCTAAAAGTGTGTTTAAGGTTGGTGAAAGGTATGAGGTTGACAGTCTGATCCCCCCTGGAAAGATACTTTTGCAGGCACCTCAAAAGAGTAAAACCTTCAGCTGTGATTTGAAGTGAGTAATACTAAAGAGGGAGACGCACTTAGAAGATCTCTTCTGAAACTTCTGGCCTTGTGTAATTAATGATAATGGCTATTATGCTCTTTGTACCGCTTTCCATGCGAGTCATCTAGCAGCTGTTAGATGAGAAATTATTTTATCTAATGTGTGCATAAGTCAATGAGCATACTTCTTTTCCTTCTTCACAGAGAAAAAAGGGAGAAAAGAGTTTTCCTGCTGTTGCTTATTGCTTTGGGACAGCCTTGTCTGAGCTTCCAGTCATCTTGAGGCTTGCTTTTTTCTTTTCTTTTTTTCTTTTTAAACATAGGATGAGAACATGCTTGGGACCATCTGGCTTGTTGGGTGTTTAAGCCAGTCCCTAACTGATAAAATTTCCCACTTCTGTGCAGAAGTAATTTTCATGGTTTACCAACATAGAATTCTTCCTCCTTCACTGGAATTATGTCTTAATTGCTTGTCAGAAATGAGGCATGTGGTGGGTTGACCTTGGCTGGCCACCGGGTGCCTGTCACCCTGCTTTATCACTCCCCTCCTCAATAGGACGTGGGGGAGAAAATACAGCAAAAGCCTCAAGGTTTGAGGTAAGGGCACGGAGATCACTCAGCAGTTACCATGACGGGCAGAACAGACTTGACTTGGGGAACATTAATGTAATTTATTGTCAATAAAAATTGCAATAGGATATTGATAAACAAGAACAAATATAAAACACCTTCCCCCCACCCCTCCCCTCTTCCCAGGCTCAACTTCACTCCTTATTTTGCTACCTCCTCCCCCTGAGCAGTGCAGGGAGACGGGGAATGGACATTGTGGTCAGTTCATTACACATTATCTCTGCTGCTCCTTCTTCCTCCCAGTCTTCCCCTGCTCCAGTGTGAGGTCCCACCCACGGGAGACAGTCCTTCACAAACTTCTCCAATGTGGCTCCAAACACTTCTCTCTCAGGCTACAGTTCTTCGTGAACTGCTCCAGTGTCTGTCCTTTCCATTTGTCCTTTCCACGGGGTGCAGTCCTTCAGGAACAGACTGCTCCAGTGTGGGTCCCCCATGGGGTCACAGCCTCCTGTGCATGGGGTCCTCCATGGAGTGGAGGCAGATATCTGCTCTGCTGTTAACCTCCATGGGCTGCAGGGGGACAGCCTGCCTCATCATGGTCTTCACCATGGGCCGCAGGGGAATTGCTGCTCTGGCATCTGGAGCACCTCTTCCCCCTCCTTCTTCACTGACCTTGATGTCTGCAGAGTTGTTTCTCCCACGTATTCTAGCTCCTCTCTCCCTGCTGCTATTGTGCAGCAACCTTTCCCCTTCTGAAATATGTTATTGCAGAGGTGCTACATTGTCACTGATGGGCTCAGCTTTGGCCAGCGGCAGGTCTGTCTTGGAGCTGATTGGAACTGGCTCCATCCAGCATGGGGGCAGCTTCTGGAGTCTTCTCACCAAAACCACCTCTGCAGCCACCCTTCTACCAAAGCCTTGCCATGCACGCCCAATAAAAGACATCTGGTGAAATTTCATTTGGCTGAGATCTGGCTCAGCCTTTCATAGGCCAAAAAATGGAACAGCCGTTGCCTTTCAAGTGGTGATGTGCCTTCACTGAACTGAGGTACTTGCCATGTAACTTTCCTGGATCTGGCTTAGGGTTTTGCTAATAACTGACTCTGGTGCATTAATTTCTTGAGGTTATGTTTTTTAAAAACAAATAGCTATAAAACATATCAGGATTGTATTTCTGCTGAAGTAGTGTATCATATGGTTGCTTTTCAACTAACCGATCATTATTTATTTTATTTTTTTAAAGGAGGCAGCCTTCACAAAAGAAGCAGGGGTGGTCTTGTTGCAGCTTTTGTTCTGTTAATTCCAGTTGTAGGAATACTAGGATTCCTGTACAGAAGAGGTATGTATAGTGTTTCCTAATTGAGTTTAACATGCTTCAAAATTATGCTGATCTAAGGTTCTGTAGAATGCGTGAAAGTTTCTGACCATAGGATGTATTGTAAATACAGTAGTGGAAACAAGTACTGCTTAGGTAAAGGCTAACAGATTTGAAGGAAATATTATACTGAACTTTATTGCACTTGGACACTGGGCTCTGTGTACTGGGAAACACTGTAGTTTGTATTTGCATGTTACTCCCTTAGACTAAGTGTTTCATTTAATGTGTGTTTCTACTTACCAAGTGTCTACGGCCTCTCCCTTTCCTACCTGAGTGTGCTTTCACTGCCTTTTTTGAGATCATCATGAAGCTGCCGTCAAGATAAGATTTACTGTTGGGACAGGCTCTTACCAGGGCCTGTTGAATACCTTATGCTGAGTCCAGTCTGACAACTTGGTATGTTCAACTGATACATAGGGGCTTCTGTGTGCCTACTGTCAGCCTGTATTGCAATAATCTTGGAGTTCTAGATTTGTTTCTTGATCCATCCCTACACTGAATTTGAGTATTTTCTTTTTTTAAAGAGCATGGGATGCATCTCTTGTCTGGGAAGGACTGACGATATTTTGGAGGGACACTGTGATCAGAGCATGTGTTAATGCATAGTGCATGCGGACCTTATTCTTTCCTGATAATTCTCCATTTAGTTTCTGTTGGCATGGAATCATAAAATAAACTAGCTGGGAAGGAATCTCTGGAGTTTTCATCCAACTTGCTGCTCAAAGCAGGACCAACTTCGATGATAGATCAGGTTTCTCAGGGCCTTGTCAAGTCAAACTGAATAATTCTAAGGATGGAAATTCTCCAGCCTCTTTCAGCATGTGTTCAAGCACTGAATCACGTGAGGAAGGATATTTTCCTTACTTCTGTTAGGGATTTCCCTTTTGCAACTTGCAGCCATTGCCTCCTTTGTCTTTTTGCTCTGTACTTCTGAGAGGAGTTTCCTTTGTTTTCTATGCAAGCTGGTTACAGACTGCAATTAGCAATCCCCTTAACCTTCTTTTTCTTTGGGCTGAACAAACCAAATTGTCTTGCTGGCCTATCTTGGAAATTTGTCAGCTAGCCGCCTTCTCTGTGCATTGAATTTGACTTTGAGAGCTGGTGGTTCCAGTGGGTGGGGGCTGGTGTTGTGCATGTAGCAGTAGGTTTAATGACGACTGAAGGTAGTGTTACATCAGACTGGCAGGAATTTGCTGTTTGTTTACCTTGGTCATATCTTCAAAATCCATCCAAGGACTGGTGAAGACAGGCACGTTGCTAGTCTGGTGTGCAGAACGCTGGTCCTTGCTTTTGGTGGATGACTCCGGTGCATGCTTACACCCTGTGGGTCAAGTTGCAGTTGTCTCTTTTTCTTTCTCTAACCCCTTTCAGTTGTTTCAGGAAAAAATCTGTTAGCAGCACCTTGTGATTGACTCTTACTCCATTTTGCAGGCCTGTCTTCTCCTTGTAATAGTCAAGATGAGGGAGGGTGACAGTCAGTGAAGGAACTTCTCATCTCTTTCCAATAGTTACCGGTCTGCTTCCCACCCATGATTTCTTTATGTGGTGCCCTTCTGCGGGCAGTACAGATTCTCAGGGTTGTCTGCATTCCTGTCTTCTTGTCCGGATGTCCACTTGTGCTTCTGCTGTCCATTCTAATCCTGTGTTGCTTTTTTGGGTGGCTTTCTTTTTTGGGTTGTTTTTTTTTTTTTTTTTTTAACTTCTTTAATTTGCAGCAAGATTGCTCAGTTCTCTGGCTTCTGGGTCTGTGTGTTGGGGTGTGGGAATCATAGAATGGTAGGGGTTAGAAGGGACCTCTGAAGGTCACCTAGTCCAACCCCCCTGCTAAAGCAGGTTCACCTAGAGCAGGTTGCACAGGACTGCATCCAGGCAGGTTTTGAATATCTTCAGGGAAGGAGACTCCACAACCTCCCTGGACAGCCTGTTCCAGTGCTCTGTCACCCTTAATATGAGGAAGTTTTTCCTCATGTTCATGCAGAGCTTCCTGTGCTCATGTTTGTGCCCGTTACCCCTTGTCCTGTCGCTGGGCACCACTGAAATGAGCCTGGCCCCATCCTTTTGACACCCACCCTTTAGATATTTATAAGTGTTGATGAGGTCCCCTCTCAGTCTCCTTTTCTCCAGGCTAAATAGCCCCAGGTCGCTCAGCCTTTCCTCATAGAAGAGATGCTCCAGTCCCCTAATCATCTTAGTAGCCCTCTGATGGACTCTCTCCGGTAATGCCCTGTCCCTCTTGAACTGAGGAGCCCAGAACTGGACACAGTACTCCAGATGTGGCCTCATCAGGCCAGAGTAGAGGGGGAAGATTAACCTCCCTCAACCTGCTGGCCACACTCTTCTTAATGCAGTATAATCGCTCTGTACAGTGAGCAGCTAAGGAAGGGGACAACTCCTTTAGTCTGTGCTCCTTTCACAAGGGTGAATGAGGCTGACTCGTTCCAGCTTTAACATGTTATGATGTGTCTTGTTGCCAAGACCACTGTGGTCTATTCTTATGAACTAAATCAGCCCCTAGGCAGCCAAGCAGTTTAGAAAGAGCAGGGGAAGACTTAAAACCCACTTTGTTGTGGAGGTCACCAGACCAAATACTGTTTCAGTGGGGAATAGCCAGAGCTTCTGCCATCAGATGCGAGCTCAGTGCCCTGTTCAAGTGTTCTGGTGTTGAACTAACGGTAGCTTCATGTGGGATACTCAGTCTGGTACCTTACGTGAGCTGCTGGAGTTAGCACAAGACTGGAGAAGGACGTTTCTTGAATTGCAAACTACTGTGTCGCCTTTGCAGAGATTTTCAGTGTGTTTAATTTAATTTCTTCAGTTGTTCTTTAATTTCTGAAGTTTCTTAATGCTTTTATGGATTTGGAGGTTATAAAATATGATGAGGTCTTTGGTGGTGGGCCTGGAAAAGATGCCACAAGTCGGCAGGCAGTGCTATTGAAAGCAGGGTTTGGGGCTTTTTATTGTTTGGTTCAAGTCAGAAAAAAAAAAAAGTTCTTTTTCCTCAGGCTGTTGCACTGATGTAGGAGAAGGAGGTTTATTTTATGCCTGTCTTATGGAAGAAAGTAGGGAAACATACAGTTCAGGCAAAAGAGAATCAGGTCCATAGGTAAAGGTTGTCCATTTGGACACTAGAGGAACAAATAAAAAAAATACTGAATTTTGTTGCAGTACAGAGCGGGAACATCAGGAAGGGAGGAATCAGTGCACCTGTGCATAGTACCTCCTGCAGCACCTACGTAGCATGCAGTCATTGCTGTGCAGATCGGAAACAGTAGGCAAGGCTATGATGTTCTCTGAAATGTGTTTACATAGCAATTTTCAACAGGGCTTCTGCTGGTAGCCCAGCAGCATGTAACAATTGCAGAGGAGAAGGTGTGCTCCTGAGAGACTGTAGCTCTTCTCTGATCTCTTTTCAGACAAACAATTGAACAAGGAGGACAGTGCCTTGAAAGACAAGCAGACAGTTAACAGTGGTGTAAATCACAAAGGGAAGTTCTGTGGAGCGGTCAGTGCTAATGACCCAATGGGAAAACTGGCCAGGGTCCCTTGGAGTTGAAGGCTTGGGGGGACTTCTGTGTAATGCTTCTCAGTGGAGGTATTGGGGGGGAGAATTGTGCCGTGAATGCTGAATACCAGTCCTCTGTGCAGAAGTTCCAGGAGCAGAGTTAAACAGGTTTCAGGCTGTAGTTAAGGGCAAAACGAGTCTCGCATTTTTACCACCCTTGGAAATAGCCCCAGCAGAGCATATGGACTTGAAGGATGTGTGTTTTGGAGATCATTGGGGTTTAAAAAAAAACCAACCAAAAAAAAAAAAAATCCTAGTCAGAGTGAGATGTGAATACTGGTCAAGTAGCAGTCCCTGCTGAAGTACTGGCTTCTGGTCTTCTGGTTAATGCTGCCTGTTGGAAGATCTCTGCAAGAGGGCCTCAAGTCCCCCAGTGTGTGCACATGAAGCACTTAAGTGAGGAGCAAGAGTTGATGTGACCAAGAGGAAGCTTTGCCAAGAGGAAGCTTGGTTTGGAGAGATTGCTGCTCTGTGAAATGGAGTCAGGCTGTCCTTCATTGTCTCTGGTGGAAGTCAGTACTTTGTGTATGTCTGTCTTTTAACCTCCCTGACGTCTGCTGGAAAGGCAACACAGCAATTCAAGCAATCAGGAAGATTTCTGGGCAGCATCAGGGACAACTTCTTCATACAGGCTACCGGATGCACCAGAAAGGGATGATGTGCAGCTCTATCTGCTGCTCACTAACAGAGGAGGACTGGATGGTGATGTGATCATGAATGGCTGCCTTGGCTTTAGTGGCCAAGAAACAGCTCCAGATCCTGAGAGGAGTGAGGAAGGTAAGCATCAGAGTACAGGCCCTGCCCTTTTGGAGAAGAAATTTCCACTTACTCAGGATCTCATGGGAGACAGCTCTGAAGAGCAAAGGAGCTCAAGAGAGCCATCAGGCCTTTAGGGAGGACTTTCTCCAAGCATGAGCACAGGCCATCCTGATAGTCAGGAAGACAGGTGGGCAGATCAGAAGATCAGCTTGGCTGAGCAGGGGGCTGACAGGGCTCCAGTGCCAAAATGGTTATACTAGATGTGGAGGCAGGGGCAGGCTACAGTGCATGGATTTAGGAACACTGCCCGGGCAGGTAAGGTTGGTATCAGGAAGGCCAAGGCTTAGGGAGGCTTGAAAACACTGGGATGACCAGGACAGTGAGAGCAGCTTCTGCTACCAGGTTATCTGTTAAAGAATAAATGAGGAAAACAAGCGCCTGTTGCTGAACAGGGGATTGGTTTAGTGATATCTGATGCTGATGAAGTATAGGCTAGATGAGCAGACAGTGAGGTGGACTGAAAACTAGCTGAATGAGTGAGGTCAGAGGGTTGTGATCACTTGTATGAATTCTAGTTGAAGGCCAGTATCTAGTGGTGTACCCCAGGGGACAGCACTGGGTCCAGTCCTCTTTAACGTCTTCATTAATGATCTGAATGATGGAGTAGAGTATACCTTCAGCAAGTTTGCTCATGATACAAAGCTGGGAGAAGTGACTGATGCACTGAAGGGATGTGTTGCCGTCCAGAGGGACCTCAACAGGCTGGAGAAGTGTGCTGGCAGGAACCTCATGCAGTTCAAGAAAGGGAAATGCAAAATTCTGCACCTGGGGAGGAATAGCCTCATGCACCACTATATGCTGAGGGCCAATCGACTGGAAAAACAGCTTTTCAGTAAAGGACCTGGGGGTCCTGGAGATCATGAAGATGAGTGTGAGCCAACAAGGTGCCCTTGCAGCAAATAAGGCTATCGGTATCCCAGGTTGCATTAGGAGGAATGTTGCTGGCAGTTTGAGGGGGGCAATCCTTCTCCTCTGCTCAGCTCTGGTGAGGCCACACCTGGAGTCCTGTTCTGGGCTTCCCAGTACAAGGAGATATGGAGCTACTGGAAAGAATCCAGCAAAGTGCCATGAAGATGATTAAGGGACTGGATGTGGTCCTGGGCAGCCTGCTGTAGTTGAGCCTGCTTGAGCAGGGGCATAGGACAAGATGACTTCTAAGGTTCCCTTCCAACCTCAACCATTGTGTGATTCTGTGATATCCTCTCTTATATGAGGAAAGGCTGAGAGAGCTGGCACTGTTCAGTCAGGAGAAGGCTCAGGGGGATCTCATCAGTGTGTATAAATACCCAGTGGGAGCAAATGAAGGAAAGGAAGACAGGCTTTTCTCAGTGGGTGCTCAGTGACAGGACAAGAGACACTGGACATGATCTAAACCATAAAAGGATCCATCTGATTGTCAGGAAACACTTCTTTGCTGCAAGGGTGACTGAGCATTGGAGCACATTGCCCAGAAAGGCCATGGAGTCCTCATCCTTTGAGACATTCCAAAGCTATCTGGACATTGTCCTAGACAGCCTTCTCTAGGTTCGTCGGCTTGAGCAGAGGATGTTGGACAAGATGAATTCCAGATACTTCTTCAAATGTCAACCATTATCTGGTTCTCTGATACCAGATACAGATAAGGCTGAGACACCAGTGCTACCTTTGTCTCCATCTTGACAGCCTCTGTGGTAATTTTGCCTAGAGGCAAGTTCAGGGAGGAGAGGACCTGCCAGTAATGGCAGAGGATCAGATCAGGGATCTCTGGAGAAACCTTGGCCCAAACCAGTCCATGGGATCTGATACAAGGGTTGCTACAAGAGCTGGTAGATGTCATTGTGAGGATGCTCTTGATCACCTTCAAAAATCATGTCGGAGAAGATGCGTGACAACTAGAAGAAGGGAAACATTGGAGCTATGTTCCAAAAAGGCTAACAGGTCCACCTGTGGAACTACAGGTCAATCAGGCTCACTTTCATCCCTGGCTAACAGGTCCACCTGTGGAACTACAGGTCAGTCAGGCTCACTTTCATCTCTAGGAGAATCATCATAGGGCAAGTCTTCTCGGAACGTTTCCAGTCACTGAAGAAAGATGGTGACTGGGAGTAAGCTTAATTCGCAGTCGACCAAGCTGACAACCTTTTTTTGACGAAATTACTAGATCTGCGGGTAATGGGAGAACAATGGGTGTCGTATACCTTGACTTTGGCAAGGCTTTTTATGCAGTGTCCCTCAGCATTGAAGTCCACAGTTGGGATGTCCTAGTCCAGTAGAATGTCTGTTTACTTGTGTAGAAAACTTGCTAGATTGTCAGGCCTGCAGGTAGTAGTTAGTGAGCTGTACTCCACATGGATGATGGTGATAAGTGGAGTACTGCAGAGGTCTATTTTTTGGTGACATGGCCAAGGAAGAGACAACAGTGTCATTGAGTTTATAGATTACAGCAAAATCTGGAGTGCAGTCAGTCAGTATCAGTGCAGGATTGTCTTTGAGGGAGGGTTAGAGGCCTGTGTGAACCTTGTAAAATTCTGCAGGGGCCATGCAAGGTCCTGCACCTGGATGGACCGACACTCTGCCCTCGTGCAGGCTGGGGACTGAATGGCAGGGAAGCAGCTCTGCTGAAAGGTACCTGGGAGTCCTTATGGGCAGTATGCTGTGAGTCAGCAGTGCTCCCTGGCAGCAAAGGAGGCTGATCGCATCCTAGGCTGTTTTAAGGAGTGCTTAAGCCAGTGGATTGAAGGAAGTGGTTATTTCCCATTACTTGGCACCTATTAGATGACATGTAAACTATTACATCTAGTTTGTGGCCCACTCAGTGCTGGAAAAGCACTGATAAATTTAAGCAAGTTCAGCTTGGTTAGGGGCTGGAGCACAATTCCTCTGAGGAGAGGCTGAAGAAACTGGACTTGTTCAACCCCAGAGAAGAGCAGGCTTTCAGGGTACCTAACAGCAGCTGCCAATATCTATGGGCAAAGAAGGCTGAGCCAGGACGTTTACTAACGTGTGTTAGTGGGATATCAAGGTGATGGTCCTGAACTGAAGCAGGGGAGATTCTGTGTGGATATGAGGAAAAGCGTTTCTGCCGCTTAATCACTAAGGCTGCATGGAGTCAACATGGAGTTTCTACCTTTGGATATTTTTAAGACCTGACTGGAGAAAGTCCTGAGCAACCTGTCTAGAACTGAATGTTGACCTTTCATTGAGGAGGATGTTGGGTTAGAGACTTCCTGGGCTCCCTCCCTGAATGAACCGGAGTGATTCTGTGTGTCTTATGAATTGTAGCTGGTGACTCATCTCTAAGCAATGACTGCTACCGCTGTGAAGTTAAGCAGTGAGATACGCTCCAGAGCACTGTAGCTCACCAGTGATCTCTCTTTTCAGAACTCTCTGCCATGCAGAACAGCACCCTGACATCCAAGTGTGTGGCTGACCATGGTGTAAGTGAGGAAGGTGAGTGCCTGTTCTGTGGTGGGGAGCTGTCCTGGGGAAAGGTGTCAGCTTTCTGATGTTAGCTGATGTTGTTGGCAACATGTTGAGTTGTAGCTAGTAACTCGCTCTTATGCAATGGTCAGTACCTTGAAGCTGAGCAAGGCAGGGGACTGTAGTTGTCTTCTGATCTCTCTTCAGACACCTTTAAGAAGGAGAACAGCAGCTTGCTGGCCAAGCATGCAGGTGACCATGGTGTAAGTGGAGAAGGTAAGTGCCTGCGCTATGGAGCAGTCTTTGTTCATTTTGGCTTTTGTCTGACTCTTCTTGATGTGAAGTTATGGGTGGTGCCATGGGTGCTAAGTGCCTTCTGTGCTTGGCCTTTGCAAGGTCTGGAACGGATCGTGAGGACAGTGTGGAGCCTGGGTATGGAGGAGAGAGGGGAGGTGTTGTATGATGGCCCCATGGGGGATGGGGGCGGGGGATGTTGGTCGTGACTATTATTGATGCCAAACAAATGGTCCAGCTCTTGGTCCGATTACTCTTGATCCATCTGGGCCAGAGAGGGGAGTGTTGTGAGCTCCAGGATTGTCTGACTATTGCCTGTTGTGCTTGCAGAAGTGACACAGGATGCAGAAAGTGGAACTGGGGAACACCTGAGCAACTCTCCGAGCTGCAGTAAAGAAGGTACGTGAGGGAGAAACTCCCTGTGTCTCGGGGGAGCTTGCCAGTTGACACAGAGGCTGGGAGTGGCAGTGGTGGGCCAGGCTGTGTATGACCCTGACGCCTTTTTGCTCAACTAGAAAACAGAGTGAGAATTATTAGGAGGAAGGGGGCCTGTGTGTAGTGGACAGATGTGTGTGTGAGGTGTGCTAGGGAATCAGATGTTTGTGGTGGAAGTGTTCAAAAGACTGGCCAATTTAGCCAGTTTAAAACTGTAGGATTAAACATTACTAGCATTCATTAATAACACACCTCTTATTCATGTTTGCACTATTACTTTATTCCATGCCTTAATGTGTGATAAAGGCTTATAGTGGCTGAGGTATCAGTAAGGCAGTATGGTTTTGTGTCAGCAGATTTCTGCACTATAATTCTACCTTGTTAATTACGAATGCTGTTGAACATTGTATCAAAGTTGAGAGATATTGTGTAACACTGAAGGTTTTTTTGTTGCATAGGTGTGCAGCTGTGTTCTCTTTGGTCACAAAGAATGCAGAGTTTACTTAATTTGCGTTTTTCTTGTGGTTTGTGTTTAAACTTACATGGACATGATGGGAAAGCTCTTCTAAATGAACAGACCAGTGGGCCTGAGGGCTGACACATGGAATGGGAAAACTGATTGTTACCCTGTATGGGAGAATAGTTGATCAACACTACATCTGATAGATATTAGCAAAATTCAGGCTGCAAAGATGCAATGCTTTGCAACAGTTGTTTCGTGTGCCGTGAATTAGTTAGAACCTTTACTCAGTCATCAGTTCTGTATGCTGCGTTTAGTATGTGAGCGTAACAAGCCTCCATTTGCATGTCTCCAAAACTGTGTTGCCCCCTCAGTCTGTTTTCTATGGTGGTATGTGTACAGACCAGAGCATCTGTGAGGTTGCACAGCTGCTTCTTGGAATACATCAACATGGAGAATATCAAAACTCAGATTAGTTCTGTCCCAAATCTGATAACAGAAGAATATAAGGGCTATCATTTAATAAACTGCACAGGCAAGGGCTTATATTGATCTATCATCCATCCAGACCAGAATACTGTTTCTGTAGAATTTTTCTAGAGTAGAGGAAGCCTATGGAATTCTGTTTTCACTCATGTTACTAATTAGTTTTACACTGTGATTCCCAAGAAGTGTTAAAGATCATCGATTTGGAGCTGAAGTCATTGACCTTTAGTTTATAATGAAAAGTCTTACGGAGACATCTAAATCTGTCAAAGAACACAAAAAAGTCAAGCCCTTACAAAGAGAACAATACTGTAAGTTTGACTTCCAAAGCACCCAGTAGTGTTGCAGAAAATCCTGCTTTTTCTGTAGGAAATGCAAAATTCCTGTCCATGAAGCAGGAGGGTTCCAGGCAAAATAGTTGAAGCTATAGCATTAGTGCTATATCTCGAAGTCTTTGGTGTTCATGACAGCCAGGTGGTGGAGGTAGAAGTAATTTCCCCAGCCTAGCAGATTCAGTGGCAGTATGGAGAAGTGATATCATCTGCCATCAATAATCATGAATTTCTGGATTCACAAGGGATGTAGCTGGAGTGCATGACCTGCTTAGAAAGAATTTCACTGTAGTTGTGTAAGATTTTCAGAAGTAAAACTGTAGGTAAATATGTAATAAAACTTTCTCGTTGCTGGTGTGTCTGCAAAGCTTACACAGATTAAGATGATGCTCAGAACCGTTGCTGAACTTTGAGTCCATCTAATGAGGACAATCAACTTACCTAGGTTTGAGAGACTTGCTGTAATTCACCGTAGTTCAAGCATGTTTTACTCTGACTCTAGGGAGCTCTGTGGTTCCTGTGAGTGGATCAAAATTGTTCCACATAGGCTATAATTTTGAGCCAATCTGACCACTTGCTATCACTAGCAGTAGAGGTCTTGCTCTTTGGACCAGCTCTGATTTTCATCACACCCCTATGTGAACCAGTTTAACTACCTCACGTAGCAGGAAACTGACCCAGCAAAAAAATACGGGTGGTCTTCTGCTGGACTGGTAGGTTAAATCAAATCATAAAGGGCTTTGATAAGCACTGGGCTGACATACTGGAGGGGATGGGATGCTGGTCAGTGGTGGATTCAAAGGGAGAAGAAAGGGCAGGAGACAGTGAACGGGGCCGGGGGCCAGAGGGGGGCTGCTGCAGTGATAGCAGGTCAGGCTGAGGTGTGCGTGTGAAATGTGTTGCACGAAGCTGTTACTTTCTCACACTATAAAGCTTTGCTGCGCTTTGAGCGGGGGGTAGAACAGCTGTAGTTTAACTGAGAACGAGCCTGGTGGCAGAGGGCATGAGCTGATTTCCCAGAGCTGAAGCCTTTGACAGTGCTGGCTGTTCTCCATAGAACATAGCTAGTTTAAAAGTACTTGGCAAATAAAATGTCTATGAAGAAACACAGTTTTGGAGGGATGTGAGATTAGGTCGTGGGTGAGAGAAGAAAGGAACGGATGGAAAAAATTGTTTTGCTGTTTGTGAAATGAAAGGGGTGACCTCCTCACAGTCTACACCTTCCTCAAGTGGGGCAGCGGAGGGAGAGGCACTGATCTCCTCTCTGGTGACAGTATTGGGACACGAGGAAATGGAATGAAGCTGCGTCAGGGGAAGTTCAGATTGGACATTAGGAAAAGGCTCTTCATTGAGAGGGTGGTCAGGCACTAGAACAGGCTCCCCAGGGAAATGGACACGGCACCAAGCGTCTCTTAGTCCTATGATTTAGTTTTAGGTAGTCCTGTGAGGAGCAGGGAGTTTGACTCAATGATCCTTATGGGTGCCTTCCAACTTGAGATACTCTATGATTCTATGAAAGGTTTTGTTTCCAAATTTATTAACTGAGTCACCAGAAACTTCTTGTTTTGATTTTTTTAATCTGACTTAAATGTTTAAAAACAAAAAATTAAAAAGCTTTTAGAAAATGTGTGGTGTTAAGCAGTGTGTATCAAAGCATTTTTGTTTGTTAAGAAATGAAGTTTGCAGATTGACTGACTGAAAACAGTATTCCTTTCCTTAAAAGAAGTGGAAAAATGTTGGTTTGTCTGTCATATAGCCCTTAGTTAAGTGGTGTAATTATGGGCATTTCGTACTTGTTTCTGCTTTTTGTGTTGTAGATCAGTGGTCTCCAAATTTTTTTGATTGTGCACCACATCAGGAAAATATTTTGAACATACACACCGAATTTATGTATATGTATTTATAAATTATATCCATGTGCTACCGTACTCAAGTATTATGTATACTATAAAACATGCACAAAAATAAAAATTAAAAAAGGATGAGATAAGGACGAAGCAAACAGTATTTTAATTTATTAATTTTATTAATGGTGCAAAAACATTTCTTCCTGTGCTGCAACAGATTGCCTTGCACACACCCCACTTTGGAGACCACTCATGCAGATAATCCATTTAAAGTTTCTCCAAATGCATAGGAATGTGGAAGCTGGTGGCACCTTACTGCTGCAGAGTTTTCTGTTCTGCAAGGTTTGATTCTTCTGTTGAATTACCAGCCAAGCAATCACATTCAGGTATTTGCTAAAGACAGTGTTGAAAAGAGGAAAACAAAAATCTCTGAATGTGAGAAAACATGGATGAGTGGAAGTGTGGGAGGGAGTTAGGACTGAGTATAAGAAACCTGACTTCATGATGCAGTCAAAACTGCCAATGAAACTGTCATGAAACAAGGAAGCAGACTTGAAACAGGGCTGTATAGCTGGGGAGGAAGCTGTGTTATCTTGTAATAACTGAGTCAGATCCTGTTACTTGCCAAGGAGTAATACTGAAGACCAAATTAAGTAAGTCAGTGTGTTCCTGGCCTATGTGGCATGTTGCTTTGCAAGGGCTACTTGGCTAAACTGTGCTTCTATGTCATGCTTAAAGGTTTAGCACCTGAAATAGTTATGTTGTTACATCATGTCAAGACATGAGATGTAGCTGTGCTTTCTTTGGTGCTGTTTGGAAGCTGTATGGGGCTGGAACTTTTTACATGTTCTGTAGAGAGTGTGAAACTTATTGCTATAAAATCAAAGAACACTCATTTCATATTCAGGCCCTCTCACTGCACAGACACAAGCAAATAGCAGCCCCCCCCCCGGCTGGCTTCTTGATCGCTTTCTTTCGTCTTATCATCAAGCTAGCATGTCAGCTGTAGGTAAAGCAGTAAACCTGTTTGGATTTTAAGGATACAAATAATAAAAATGCTTCAGGGCTATCCAGGAACCTTATGAGAACCAGACTAGGAACGTCTTTCTTTTTCTCATTGTCTACAGAGATGAGTACCATGCGTCACCATATGCTGCTCTCCTAGACTGTCTCCTGGCATCTTATCCTAGGTTGGAGTGATGCTGAGCTAGAGACTAGTGGAAGGGAGGGGTAGTGCTATCAAAATAGGAGCAAAGACTGAGTGGCACAGTGCCTTGGCACATCCAGTTGGTTCCACTTACGCTGTTGCTCTGTGTGCACCAAGACAGAAACACTGATGTGAGTGGGCCTTGAATGTGCTTTGTTGGAAATCAGCCTGGTTAGAGCCTGATGCATGTTGGATGCAGTGAGTTAGGCTGGGCATGTAGTCTTATACTTGTCGGATTCTAACTTCCTGCACTGTAAATTCCCTTTGCCTTCAGTTTCCTTGCTTGTCGAATAAGAGCTCTATTTGCAATCCTCAAAAGAGAAGACTCAAAAGCACCTGGAGTTACTGTGTGGAAGAAATAGCAGCTGCGTCACATGCATGTGTGGTGCACAGCTGATACTAAGATTGTAGACCTGAACCTTTGAGTAAAAATGGTGCCTTAAATGCCTCATTAAGTGATCTAAAGTCATGGAGTCAGAACAGCCCCACAGGTTACCAGCTGCCTAGCAGGTGGCTGACAGTAAGTGATAAATGCTCTTAACCTGATTCTGTTGCAAAGCAATGTGTCTAACCATAAATAGATAATTTGGGTAAAACAGCTAGTGTATATCAGATACCACGGGTCACAAAGCTGCTGTAACTGGATCGTTTTGGATTGTGTGACAATGTCTTAATTAATCTTCACATGTTATTAGTATTTAAAGCCTGCAGTATTCTTCTATAATTAGTTCGATTTCTAGAAGACAAGACATAATAATTTACTTGTGTGCTTTTCTTTTTCTTTTGCTTCAG